TTATTTTACTTTGTTTATACTTTTTATAATATAACATAAAAATATATGAATGTGGAAATTACAATATACATTTAATAATTAAATTTTCACTTCATATTCTTATTTCAAAATAGGGCCCTCAGAACACTCAGAAGTTCTTAAATAGTAACTTATGTAGTAACTTAACCTTAATGTGTAATTGTGTAAAGTATTATTATTTTAGTATTTTTAATTCCAATCATTTTATTACTTGCAATATATTAGCAATGCGTTACTGTGAAGTAGAAGGATGCAACAATTCTAGTATTCGTGGTTTTAAAATGTGTCACTTTCCAACGTCTTCAAATCGAAGGCAGAAATGGATTGAGTTTGTCGGCCGTGCAGGATGGACACCTAAAAAATATTCAACATTATGTGAGGCAAGTGAACTACTTTTTTTTCAGAAAACATATCTTTTCATATTCATGTCTTTGTTTCATACATTATTTATACTATTTATTATTCATACATACCTTTTTATATTCAACCTTTTAGATACATTTTGACAAAAATATGTGGGAAAATGAACAGATTTTTGGGAAAAAGAAATTGAAGTTATGTGCCGTGCCTACTATTTTCTTGAGGCCACCTGCTATTAGTCCTGCAACTGGTTAGAATAAATTACATGATATACATATAATATTTTGTGTGCTTAGGAAATTTTAGGAAAAATAGTAATAGTATGATTTATATTGCAGTCTTGAATCGGGTCTGGAACAGAAGTATTTTAAGAGTCAATTGTAACTCATCGTCAGTCGATGCCAAGTCATTACTGACCCAGCCTCTTGTGTCATCACCAAAGATGGCCAGTTCTCCGAGAATTAATACCTCGCAGATCTCAATAGATAATAATTCACAACAGACTCTTCTTATGAATGCTGATCACTCGATTTGTGATTCTAATAGAATTGTAGACAAAGCGAAACCTCAAAGTATGTTTCGAGTTACTTGATTCTTCAGAGATAGGAATGACCTGTTATATTTCTTATATTTATAATCTATTATAGACGATCCTCATGATGTCCACTTAAAGGAAATAAATATGTTAAAAAAAATAGTGAACGGATTTTAAGTGCATGAAAACGCAACACAAGAAACACAGAAAGGCATTACTAGAGGAAATAAAGATACTTCGAAAAGAGGTATGTATTAATAAGAATGTTGGAAGAAGCATGTAAAAATTGCTTGACATTGATCAATTAAGCCTACTAACAGAAGTATAAATGAATCCCTAAATAGTGCAATGATGGTTTATTAAAATCATTAAAATTAGAATTTACTTGTGGCAGTTCAGGGTATAAAGAACTTCTAAAGCCAAGACCATCCAATATTATCTGTATGTACTTTAACGCGAAAACTGGAGGATTTAAAATTTGAACCCGGTATAGTTGAGATGTTTGAACTTTTAGCTTTTAAAACTCTACATTTTAGAGAGATCGATAAAGATCGCACATTATTTTTATACGAAATGTGCATTTCATGAGGGGAATGTTTTAACAATTCCAATAATAATTTTCAAAATGTTTACTATTTTCAGGATATCAGCTCTTGAACATAAAAAATGTTAATTGTAATTTAAAAATATTATTA